TTCTTTTTTAAGCTAAAAATGAATCTTGAATACATAACATAACCCACATAATTTCGATTAGAATACTTGAGCAACATTTTTTGTACTTACTTGATATAGAGCTAATAGAACACTTAAAAAGGAAGCTTTCAACTTCTATGCAGTATAAAAATCTACAATTATTGATACGTAGTTTTTAATATAATTAAAAGAAAAAAAACTTCGTCTCTCTATAACAACCACAGTTGTAACACAGCAATCTAAGAAGTCGCAATTCCCTCTCACTCTCTCTTGAAAAAGTAGACGCAACTAAAACGCCATCATACCGTGTACCCCGAAAGTAACGAACTAAAAAGAGTAGAGAGGGAAACAGTCATGAATGCATGAATGGGCGCATTCAACGAAACAAACCGCTCAGTAGCAATCAAACGTCATTGGCTCTTACTTTTAGAGCCAACAAATTAACAGCATCATTCAGCGGAAAATCTAGTAACTTTGCTCAACTGTTGAGTTCGCTGAATGCGGCCATTGATCGATGCACATGTTAACGAAATTCCCTACTCAGTGTACGCTCGAAAATTTTGAGAAATTTCAGTTGGTAACACTGCAACGACGCCGAGTATACATATGCCCACTGTTCTCAAGTTTATCAGTTGAACTCACAAGTTGTATTGAATTGTATTGAATTGTGTTGAACTGTATTAAACATTTTGACAAAATGGCTGAAAAATCACGCCGTGTGGCACAATCAGAAGATTTGTCAAACGTTGAGTTTGAGACCAGCGAAGATGTCGAAGTCATTCCTACTTTCGACAACATGGGTCTTCGCGATGAATTGTTACGTGGGATCTATGCGTACGGTGCGGATCTTCTCCATTCATTTTATCTAACCTATCTTAAGTTTGCGACTTATTTTTACATCAGGCCTATATTAAATTATAAAAATTATCTCGTACACAATCGATGCGAGACATGTTTTTATTCTACAGATATTAATTTTGTCAATTTTTCATCCACCATTTGTTAATCATTAGCAATTTATTTGCTAATCAAGTTTATCAGCTTACCTCCATGTATGTTTATTTTATTTTCATTATTATAATAATTATGTAGAATAAATACCCACAATATTTACTTATCAACAATTTTGAATGTTTCATTAAGCTTAATGTAATAGTTTTAATTTAAACACTTAAACATGTCAGAAATAAATACTATTTATGTTTCTATTTCTGAATAGGTTTTGAGAAACCATCTGCTATTCAGCAACGATCCATTAAACCTATCATGAAGGGCAGAGATGTAATAGCTCAGGCACAATCTGGAACAGGAAAGACCGCTACTTTCTCGATTGCAATATTACAATCATTGGATACACAAGTACGAGAGACTCAAGTTCTAGTTTTATCTCCGACACGAGAACTTGCCACACAGATTCAAAAAGTTATTCTTGCATTGGGAGATTTTATGAATGTGCAATGTCACGCTTGCATTGGTGGTACAAATCTTGGAGAAGATATCAGAAAGCTGGATTACGGCCAACATGTTGTATCTGGTACACCTGGCAGAGTATTTGGTAAGTGTTATGCTTAATTTTGAACATGATTTATTTTTAAATAATTATTAGTACCATTATTTATATAAAATTATTTATATAAAATTTATGAAATTTTTAGATATGATCAAGAGGCGAGTACTCAGAACTAGAGCTATCAAAATGTTAGTTCTGGACGAATCTGACGAAATGTTGAACAAGGGTTTCAAGGAGCAAATCTATGATGTATACAGATATTTACCACCAGCAACGCAAGTCGTTTTAGTTTCGGCTACTTTACCACATGAAATTCTTGAGATGACTAGCAAATTTATGACAGATCCAATCCGCATTCTCGTCAAACGGTGAATAATTTTTTTTACCTTGCATTTTACTAAATATGAATATAACTGATTTTAATTGTTTTTTTTTTTTCAGTGATGAATTGACTTTGGAAGGGATCAAACAGTTTTTCGTTGCTGTAGAACGGGAAGAGTGGAAATTTGATACACTCTGTGACTTGTACGACACATTAACGATAACACAAGCAGTTATCTTCTGTAACACTAAACGTAAAGTGGACTGGTTGACAGAAAAGATGCGGGAAGCTAACTTCACAGTATGCTCCATGCACGGAGACATGCCACAAAAAGAACGAGACAACATAATGAAAGAATTTCGATCTGGTCAGAGGTGAGATTATACTTCAAAGATAAATTTCAAAGATAAAGAATTGTACTATTCTAATATCTCTTTTTCTTTGCAGTCGTGTATTGATCACAACGGATGTTTGGGCAAGAGGAATCGATGTTCAGCAGGTGTCACTTGTGATTAATTATGATTTGCCTAATAATCGTGAATTATATATTCACAGAATAGGTCGATCAGGACGTTTCGGTCGTAAGGGCGTATCGATAAATTTCGTGAAAACAGACGATATAAGGATTCTCCGAGATATCGAGCAGTATTATTCCACACAGATAGACGAAATGCCAATGAATGTAGCTGATCTGATATAAAGCACGATATTTATAGCCAGACCAAATATTTGTCATGTACTATAATGTCTTTTAATTTTCGTAACTTTCACGAATAAAACTGGAATGTGTTGTCAAATTGAATCGAGTTCAGTATATATACGAACAAATATGTATAGCTTTCTTGCATTTTCTATGATCAGATCGTTTCACGATCACGTATCTGTCATATACAAAAATTTCTTGCTTGATAGCTTTTTTTGCACATTATTTAAAGTCGATAAATTTGATATTCAGGAAACAATATATAATTCTGTATATTATCATACATGATAAATATCTGGTTAAAATGTATTTCTGGATCGAGAAAGCTGTACAAATAATTTGTTCGTATATTTACTGAATTATTTAAGTTGATAATACATTATAGTTTTTTTCATGAAAACGGAATAAATCTCTTATTTTGTACATGAAGCACAACATTATTACTTATGTAGAGAATAATTCTAATTATATGAAAAGTAATCAATAAATTTATTAACGAAGTATTTTATAGTCTCCTAACATTATTTTCCACTTTCTATATAAATGTTTATTTCACAGAAAATGTGAACGACATTAGTGTATAGTATATGCTATATCTACATACAAATAATCAATAACTGCTGTAGCTCCATAGTTCAGATGGCAGCGTGGCAGAGGTAGTAACACGCGTTGAACTCGACACGAAACTAAATTAATGAAATTAAATATGTTTCGTTGATAATATATGAGTTAATGATACCAGTGAGCATAGTTTATCGTGTTAAAAATGTCGATAAAATATTTAAGACGCAACAATGGATTTAGGAGAGCAGTCATTTATTTTTGCAAATGGAAGAGTTATAAACATTATATAGTTTCAGATGGTATGCATGTTTATTGATTGCAAGATTTTAAATCAAGAAGGTAAACAATATCAGTATTAATTAATAGACTGGTAGAACTGTAATTCAATGTGTGTGATCGTCATTTGTTGTGATTTTAAATTGTTTTTTATTGCTGTGTCGATAAAACTTACAATTTGTAAAAATTGACAACTAGACAATGGAACAACAAAATGATTGCACAATTCAAAGAGGCCAACCATTGCGTCGCTATCCAAATGAGTACAAGACGGAGGGACATTCATCCACCAGTGTGTAATTTTTTCTAGAATTGTAGCATTATTATTTTGCAGTACTAATTTCTTTTCTTTTGTTTGTAGTAAATAAATCAATGACAAATCAGCCACAGTACTCGAATACAGGGAGACCCACAGTACGCATAGCAGTTTATCTGATGACAGGAGTATTTCTGACAATGGAAGTCGAACAAAACGCGACTGCACAGCAGATTTTCGCAATAGTGCAGTCGGAAGCAGAATTGGGTCTGTCGAGATTTGTCTTAGTGACCACTACTCCAGTTTTTGCACTGTGGATGTGTTCTCCACAGCTGGAAATACAATTGCGTCCAACACACAAGCCTGTAGAACTGGCTGCTAAGTGGAATTATCTCGTCAATAAATATAGTTCTCACACAGAAAATTCCAACGATGAAGAGCCTTTGTTATATTTCCGCAGAAACATATTTCTCTCTAGAGCAGAGGAGGAACAGATCAAAGACACCAAAGTGCTCGAATTGCTTTACGCAGAAGCGAGACACAATGTTTTACAAGGCAAGTAGCTTTTAATCTTTTCTGAAAATAAAACTATAAGTATATTAAAATCATATTACAAGAAATATATAACTTGTGTTATATTCTAGGACGATATGCGTGCGATGGTCCTGCACGTTATGCCAGCTTAGGAGCTTTACAAGCTAGAATTGAACTTGGTCCCTACAATGCTCAGACACATACTTTAGCTTTCTTCCGAAGGCACCGCGGTCGATTCTTGCCGCACCATCACGCTTCTCCCAGTCTCCTGCTTGGATTGGGGCTTGGATTGGGATTGGTAGGTGGGAAAGGCGCACCAGAAGCACATCTTCTCGAACAATATAAGCGAATACCTAGCCATAATGGTAGTGCAAATGCGAATCCTAAGAAACTGATCAGAAAATATCTCGAATTCTGTTGGAATTTGCCTTCCTACGGCGCGGCCTTCTTTCAAGGACAGATTGAGCGACCCGTTAGAAGTCTCGCATCGTGGATCACTAATCGCGACATGCAGGTGCTCATAGCAATTAATACATCAGGAGTATACATAGTAGACGACATGCAATGTGTAAGTACAATATATCAAGCTGAAATCCTCATTTAAATATGACAATCTTGAATAGAAGTTCGTATAAAATATATTTATAGAGTACATAGCGTAGTAACATTTGAAATATATTTATACAGAGCTTACTATTAGGGCTAAAATACTCGGAACTGAGTTGGGAAATGGCAAAACCCTCGGATGAAAATAATCCTGACTGCTTGCCTTGCTTGTTTCTGCAATTTCCGGTACGAGAGAATGGGGCAAGGGTTTATAAGATTTTACAAGTATTTTCAAGACAGGTAAAAGCATTTCAAAATACCAAATACAAAATATTAAATCAAAATAAAAGAAGCTAATGCGTCGATGCTAGATGTTCGTGCAAACATATACATTGATACAATAGTATAAATATATAGCTCTTTTTCTTAAATATTAAAATAATAATCTTGAAACAAGCTGATAGAGCAGGAGCTAGTTATAATTGCTCAAATTTTCTATTTATTACAAAATAATTACAAATACAGACGTTTCGGCCTAAAGGACGTGGCCATCTTCAGTGTAACAAATTAATATAAATAATGTCGTCGTTAGTCAAAATACGTTGACAAGATAGTCAGAATAGACATGTTCTCAGACAATACTTATAATTTAAGTAACGCATCCTGTTAATATGAAACGAACAAAACGAGTTAAGAGTGTTCTCCAAGCTCGAAATTAACAAACAACAGATTTTAGAAAAATAATTATGTATAAATACTTTTTATGACACGGATTGTACATTTTGTCATATCAAACTTATGTGAAGCCAAGGATCATCTAACTTGCAAATAGAAAAAATATAATAAATAAGATTTAAGAAATAGGTCAGAGATTACTAAAATTTAGGAATGAAAATTAACTCAATTAAGAAAATGTAAAAAAAATTAGATTAAAATTAAAATTAAAAATTAAAAATTAAAAGAAGAAGCAAAAATAAACCGAAAAATAAATTAGTTTCGAAAAAGATATATACCTTAGCAGATCCGTTAGACATGTGTATCAAACAAATAAAGTAAGACATGCGTCGACGGTAGTGAGCCGGGCTTGACTGGCAAAAATGTAGGAAAGAAAGAGAAGAGGGGATAGATTATGGAGAAGTTTAAAGGGTGGGGAATTTAAGAATAGGTAGATATGTGTCAAGTAATAATTCCGTGTCCTTCTGTTTATTCAGTTCTGTACTCTGTCTTTTTATATGTAGCATTTCGGAAGTTAATCTTTTGCTATAACACGGTTCTTTGTCTAGTATGTCAACTTTGTCCCATTTGAAGTCATGATTTCCTTTCGTGTGAAGCCATCGATGTGGCTTTATTCCTCACAGAACACTGAGTCTCTTTATCATACCTTTCTATGCTCCTTTCTATATTTTTGATAAATTTAAAAGAAATCAGTCTTTCGTTAGTTGTAGGTAAATTAAATCTATCACCCAATTGCAATAACAGAATTACTTCTTTTGGGATAGTAACGCTTGAAATGTTGAGAAACCAGTTATCGTGTATTCTTTCAAACTCATTACTGAACTTGAATCTATCCGGTGTGATGTTTATGGTAACATTTTCTTTATTGCAATTATCCGATTTTGACAACGCCCATACTTCACCATGAGGATCATCCGTTTTTGTCTTAAAGGAATAGTTGACAGATTTAATTCTAGACTTCTTTTCCTTGTTCTGCAATGCAACAAGCCACTCGATCTTTCGATCCTGATCCCTAAGATTCTTGTATAATAGTCTCGACATTCGTCTCTCCTGACTAGTGAAAAATTCGCAAGTTAGATTCATCGGTAACGCATTGGAAATATGTTCAAAATTGTCTTAAATATCAGTTCTTAAATGTCGCAAAAAGAAATAGGCGTCGCTCAACTTCAATCGTATAATTTTGTTAGTCACATCTTTGTTTATGTTCGTCAACTTTTTGAGTGAGTTCATATGGTATAGATATAAATGTTTTGTAATAGACCATTTAAGATGCGGAGGTGTGACATTATAACGAATACATTTCTTCAAAAACAGAATGCGAGAATTTTTTCTATTTGCAAATTAGATGATCCTTGGCTTCACATAAGTTTGATATGACAAAATGTACAATCCGTGTCATAAAAGGTATTTATACATAATTATTTTTCTAAAATCTGTTGTTTGTTAATTTCGGGCTTGGAGAACGCTCTTAACTCGTTTTGTTCGTTTTACATTAACAGGATGCGTTACCTAAATCATAAGTATTGTCTGAGAACATGTTTATCTTGTCAACGTATTTCGACTAACGACGACATTATTTATATTAATTTGTTACACTGAAAATGGCCACGTCCTTTAGGCCGAAACGTTTGTATTTGTAATTATTTTGTAATAAATGGAAAATTTGAGCACTTATAACTAGCTCCTGCTCTATCAGCTTGTTGTTTCAAGATATACATTGATATTTTGCATTCATAGGCACCTATGATGGACACATTAATATCTGGCTTTGCCGAGGACTATCGTCGACAGTTTATCAACAGCGACGGCAACAACGATCAACTGGATCATCCGCTAGTTTCCCCTACCGGAAGTAGTTTCACAAATAAGCTCAGTAAATTTACGCTGGCCACTTTTGATGATGAAGGTAATGAAATTAATATATTGTTATTTCTAAATTATATCAGAGGCCTCATAAATTAAAACACTAATAAACACTAATAAAATATTAATAAGGAGCCAAAAGCCTATAATGGATGGACGTGCGTATTTATTTCGTGCGTATAAATACGTATAGGAAAGACGTATAGGGGAGACACTCCCCCTGCACTATGCACTATACATTGTACAATGTGAAGCGAGGTTTCACATAGGTTTACAATTTTCCACGCAAAGCGAGGTTTTAACCCAAACCTATGTGTATAGTTTTATGATGGTGGAGCCCCTCGCAGGAAGGCGGAAGACACTGCGTAATGCGGGGGGAGTGTCTTTCGTATTATCTCATTTTTTTCGAAAAATATTGGTTCTATGCAAAAAATGTATAGGACATAAATCATGTATTTTTTTAAGAGCTACAACTTTTATTTGAAACATTTCTTTGTTACATCAATATTTATCAAGATAATGTTAAAATAAACGATAATTTTTGAGTTTTTTCAAGTAGTTTTGACTTTGAAAATGACTTTGTCGCCAATCGGCATAGTCGTGTTCGTAATCAGTGCGCGATTTCCTGCTCGATTTCTGCCGTCAATCTGATATCAAACTGCGTTGCGCAGGTCCTGCTCGGTTTCTGCCGCCAATCTGCTGTAATAATTCCGAGCAAATCCTACTCGGTTTCTGCTGTCAAATTATGTCAGCAGGTTTTGTAACATTTCTGCTGACATTCTGCTATCATCATCTGATGTAACAGGTTTTGTATACAATCTGCAGTCTTTCTGTTGACAAAAATTTGTAGCAGACGTTTGGCAATATCTGTTCGAACAGACTTTGCTGACTGGGATCCTAAGACTCCAAGCGAAAGTTAATTGTTCATACCATGCGAAGCAATTATTAAATTTTATATTGTAATACAGGGTGTCCCAGACTTACCGTATCACCCGTTAATGGCACATTCCTGAGGTCATTTGGAGACGAAAATCTTAATACCAAAATGTCGAGGCTACTATAGTATTTGAATGGGAAAGGCTTAAAGTTTACCAATCAGCTTGTCAGAATTTTGGTTATGATACGGGTAAGTCTGGGATAACCCTGTATATTGATGACAACACTGAAGAAGGCATAGTTATAGAGATCGAAACGTTTGTTGTGGATATTTTGTTTGAAATAAATACGCATGTCCATCCAGCATAGGCTTTTGGCTCCTTAATTTATTAGTGTTTTTATTGTTATTTCTCTTTATTTATTCTTCAAATTTATTTTAGGTAGATGCATTGGTCAAATGGGTTCATGGTCCTTTCGATAAATAATTGTGATTTCAATAAATACATTGTGATTGTAAATTTTGTGACACCAATATATTCCTTGACGATATAAATTGAATATGCATTTTTAAATATTTTCTAAACAAATGTTCTTTGTCGTAATTTAATTTAAATTAATTTAAGTTGATATCGCGTATACTTACATAATTTTTTCCGTGCAAACTTCTTTTTCCAAATATTTTTTTCAAATATTATTTCTGAAGGACTTGGAGTTGCGAATGTTGCTGTAAACGATCAAATAACAATCTATATTTCTTTGATACCATATCTCTGTGCCGATTGAGGTATGTTTCTAGCACGTGTATATCGAAGTTCATCTCGTTAATCTTGGCTAACATCTGTTCTTCCTCCGTTTTCGATAAATCTTCAGACTACAATTATGTAATTATTAAATTATATAAAAATTTAAGGTAAACCTTGGGAATATGGTCCTCAAAAAAGTAATGGACAAAAATGCTCAATTTCAAATGCTCAATGTGTGTAACCTTTTTTGTAGTAAATCTCATTTTCTACATTTTTTGTTTGAAAAATTTTTTGATACCGGAAATAGTTGCGGAGATAATCGTAATAAAATGTTTTTTGCATGTTTTTCAAGATGGCGACCAAAATATGGCGACCGCCAAATATTATTATTATATTCGTGTTCAGAAGGCAAAATACATGGGAATTGAGCATT